TTTATGATGACATGGAGGGCTCCTTGGAGTCAGTGATGATCTTGAGCTTTGCACCGACCTGAAGGAGGAAGAAGGAGAAGAGGCTCCTCTGACCAAAATCATTCCACACTTACTCTCCACCTTCGGCTTAGAGTGTGAGAACATTGTTGACATTTATGTGAGCAGTCCTAGATCACAAATCCTTGATGTAGTGTAAGTGAATGAATAAGCAACATGGACAAATTTTAATTGCAGAGTCCACTTTTTGCTAGCTTCAGAAATAAATTTTCCTTAGGAATGTCCTTGTTGTCAATGTTTTCTCCCTGATTATGGAGTTCAGCTCTTTTCAGACCAGACCTCTCTATATCCAGCTTTCTCTGTTGAATCTTGCCTCTGTCTTCCAGAGTCTGGATTACATTCACGAAGATGCCATGCAATTCTAAAGATGCAAGATCTTCCTTGTTTGGGTGTTTCAGGTATTTGTTTGCTTCATTGTGTTTATAGAAGTCATCGACTGCCACCCTCTTGTATTCACCTTTTTTTTTCTTTTTGAGATGGAGTCTCACTCTATGGTCCAGGCTGGCTGGAGTACAATGGCAGATCTCAGTTCACTGCATCCTCCACCTCCCGGTTCAAGTGATTCGCCTGCCTCAGCCTCCCAAGTACCTGGGGCTACAGGCATGAGCCACCACACTGGCTAATTTTTGTATTTTTTAGTAGAGATAGGGTTTCACCATGTTGGCCAGGCTGGTCTCAAATTCCTAACCTTAGGTGACCCATCTACCTTGTCCTCCCAAAGTGCTAGGATTACAGCTTGCTGAAGAGTAGTTATAATATGGACAGACAGTGCTAGGATTGTATTAACTATTGATAATCCCTTTGTATCTTTAATTCCCCACACCAGTTCTTTTTGTTCAGCCATCTACTTTCTGCCACACATTTTCTCCTCCTTTCACCAAGCTAAACTGAGTGCTCAGTTGCAGCAACAGTATCATTTTAAGTATCTTGTTCATCTTTCTCTTTCCTGTGTTTTGAAATTTTAACTTCAATAGAATACCTTACTATTTGTAAGTCACCTGCAATCTCCCCGCTTTTTTGGAGGCAGACAAGGTATAAATCATAGAGAGGTTATATAAATTGTCCGATCCTTGTAAATCTCTCACATAGTCTTTTCTTATCCATATTTTCTGTATTTCCAGCTCAGTTGTTCCTTTTATTTTGTTTCTTTAATTTTATTACTTATTTGTTAATTTACTTGTAAACATCTGGTTTTTCACTAGACATTCACAAGATGGTTTTTGTCTGCAGTTAAATAGTGGTGGGATGGGCATAAGATTTAGGATACTGTGGAGAGGTGCTTTTTAATCATGTTGATTAATGTTGAAAGAGATGACTTGAGGTTTGGTTGATATTTTTGTTTACTCAGAGCTTTTTTGGTCCTATTTTTCCTTTTGTTTACCTTCTGAAACTCCACTCATTGTTTGATATGAGTAGAATTCTGTGTGTATAATCAGAGAGAAGAAAGTTCTTCCTCACTAAGTTTATGGTCAATCTAAGTAAGCAATTAATTTAAAAATGACTTTATAGATAAAATTAATCTAGAGGTTTAGAAAGTGCATTGAAATTGAATTTGTTTCTTAGCTGGCAGCTGATTTCAAAACTACAGTGTCCTTTGAGGAATCTTAGTCAATGTTACAGGATTATTTTAATGGACCCTTCATCCTCCATTTTGGCATGACTTTAAGACATTAATAATGAATGATTGCTGTACTTGGTGGTCAGATATGTTATTTTGATCTATTTGTATTTCCCAGAGGGGCCTCTGGAAAAGGGCAGTGAGGGTAGATTTAAAACCACATTATTGGAATTCAATAACTTTTGTCTTGTTTTGTATGGCTAGGGCTTGCTGAAGAGTAGTTATAATATGAACAGTCAGTCAAGCATGGAGCAGGCAAAATACCAAAATAGATTTTCATTACTCAGACGTAAGCTGGATTCTGTGTTTTAATTTAGGCTCCAATGCTCAGCAATAAATTTTCCAGAAAATGTTCTAGATAGAAAATCTATCAGTACAAATTATTTGGGAATAAACATAAGTTTATATAAATCAATTAGAAAAATTATGTGTTGCAATAATGCCTAAGGAATTGTGAAGGGCTTAAATTTTAGTCATGCAAAGGGTATTCCCAAGGGAACACTAAGTTCTCAGTAATTAGTGTTACTAATTACTCCCCCAGTAATTACTCAAAGGTTGAAAGTGGAAGATTCTGCATCTTAGGGTGTTGGGGTCACTCCAGGAGGTAAACAAGATCTTGCTTTGTCAAGTGATGGACTCTGTCCATAGAACTATCTCCTGCCTTGTGGGTTTATGTGAAAATGTAGAAGAGGGTTGGTAATCTATTCAGCTATACTCTGGGGCAAAGCAATCAATCAAATTAAAAGGGAGATGGAATGAGTAAAGTTTACATTCCCACTCTTATTTCAGATTATTAAGTGTCTTTTCCTCACCTATGTCTTTATTTCAATCTGGCTAAACTTTAAAAAAAGAAAAAATCAGAGCAAACACAGTTAATAATCCTAGTAACTGGAATTAATGATGCATTATTTATCTGTATACCTGGCTAATAGTACCTAGCCACCTGACACAGAACACTAAAAGAATGAGGATGACTGTGAAGTGAGAGGCCCCTGCTTGCACTGAAAGAATGCTGAGAATCTAAGGATCCTGTCACTTTGACAATGGTCTTTTTCAGTTGCCTGTTTTGATATAACACTTTATATCCTTCTCGTGCATAGGTTGACATGCATTCCTTTACTGTTGTTTTGCCATGCAACTGACTTAACTTCTTTGTTGTTTAACTTTTTATTTTCTTTTTTTATGTCTCACAAAATAAATCTCTAGTGGAGAAAATTTTAAACATATAACAGTACAATAAAAATCATTTATAATGCTGCCACCTAGAGAAAATACTATGAACAACTTTGAAATATTTTTTACTTCAGTGTGCATAACTTTACTTTTTTCTATATAGAACTCTTTTATAACTTACTTTTTCTAAGATAACTATGCCTTGAGCATCTTCTGATGCCATTAAATATATTTTAGAACATAATTTTTAGCATCTCTGTATTGTTTTCATTATGTGAAATACCACATCGTGTTAAATTCATCTTCTTCTTATACTTCTCTTCTTATACTTTATTTTCAAATAAACGAGTATTTGGTAGCATTTCAGTAGGTAAATTAATTACTGCCTTAGAAAAGAATCCTATGAATAAAAATGTTGGGTCAATGGGTGGTAATGGGAGCTTTCTAAAGGTTAACTGACAGCTTGCATTCCCTGCATTCCCATCTACCCTACATGAAAGAAAGACACTGACTTTAGAATCCGGATTTATTGTCTAATTTTCAGAATTCTAACCAAAGGACTTTGATCCTATGAGGCTTCATTTCCTGTTCTGGACTCTCAGATGTGAGACCTAAAAACTTGTGTCTGTAATGTTAGCTTCCAACAGACGTATTGTAGGTGTTTAAATACAAATCAAGAGTCAAGCCAGTTGCTGTGGATATTTATTTATGTGGGGGAGGAAGGCATAGAAACACATCCTTAGAAGCTGTGCCATGGTCTTACTGATCTAAATATATAAAAAATACATCTAAGAGAGCTGCCCAAGGTCATACAATGAGTCAGCAATGAAATCCCAAGTAGAACTTTCATTTCTCTCACTTCTTTCTCCCAGTATAAAAGTACTAATGAATAGGAAGAGAAAGCATTTGTAAATTAACCTGTCAGGTCCTTTATACCTTGAAATGCTCCAAAATTTCAAGAGCCTTACTAGAAATTTCCATCAGATAAAACAAATCTAAATTGCTAATGGAGATTGATAGATTATTTAGAAGATAAAATCTTGAATGAAGAAAGAGCAGCGGGTAGTATAGGGAGATGAAAATGAGCCTCGAAGGAATCTGTGTGTTCCTGTTGCCTGGGAAGGGATAAGTAGGAGGGTGGAGGAGTAATGGCCTGAACCCAGCATAGCAACTAAGGAAAACTACATCCAAAAGGGCCTCTCAGAACATTAATTCTGGAGTGAAGGTGGGGATCTTAACTTTCATTCTGAATGAACCATAGACCTTTCCTCCTCAGCTTGGTGGTATGCATCTGCACTCTTATTTCAGAGCCTGTGGCAGGGCGACCTGCGGGAGTCCTAGAGTGTATTAGTCTGTTCTCACACTGCTAATAAAGATATACCTGAGACTGGATAATTCATAAAGAAAAGAGGTTTTATGGACTCAGTTTCACATGGCTAGGGAGGCCTCATAAACATGGCGGAAGGCAAAGGAGAAACAAAGGTAAGTCGTGCGTGGTGGCAGGCAAGAGAGCTTGTGCAGAACTTCCATTTATAAAACCAACAGATCAAATGAGACTTACTCACTACCAGGAGAATGGTATGGGGGAAACTGCCCTCATTATTCAGTTATCTCCACCTGGCCCCACCCTTGACACATGGGGATTATTACAATTCAAGATGAGCTTTGGGTGGGGACACAGCCAACCCATATCAGCGAGATAACTTTCAATGTCTTCAGGATTGGAATTCAAGTCTTCGGATTCCCACTTAGTACTGGTTCTACTACTGGGAAGAAATAATGGAAATTTAACAAGATTTTTCAGAGATATGCAAAAACTTCTAAGTAACTAAAGCTTGGGCTGAATTATGGGTAGAGTACACAAAATAATAGAGAAAGAAAACAAAAGAAAATCTTTGAGCTTGAGAATAGAGCTCACCCATCTAGCACTGTCTTTATAGATGAGGAAACTGAGGCTCGGCAATCTATGGGGACGCAGATAACCAATAAACCCAGGGGCCAAGAATTCAGACTCCTTGATGCCTAGCATGGTGCAAAGTGATCTGGATACATTTTTTGTTTCATTTATTCTTTTCATGATCATCTTCAAGCTTTTGTTTCATGGTTTGTGAATTCGGTGTCGGTAACATCAGCGTCTGTTAAGACTATTTGTGTGCTCACTCTGGCAACACATGAACTAAAATTGGAATGATACAGGGAAGATTAGCATGGCCCCTGTGCAAGGATGACATGCAAATTTGTGAAGTGTTTCGTATTTTTTTAAAAAAAGACTCTATTTGCATGTGGTACTATACTCTAAAAAGCAAAATAGACAGAATACTTGATCTACAAGAATTTCCTAAGGCAGAGAGACATAATAAAGATAGATAGAAATGACCTATAGACCACTGAACAAACAAAGCAAATATGTAAATTGTACAACTTTTGCCATGTGAGATAGTGAATGAAGAGATGTTCACAGTCTGTTGCTTGAAGAGAAGACCCATCTTCATAACCCTGTGACCTATAGCAATTATATTGGAAAGAAAAAAAAAAGAGTGCTTCACCTGGCATACCTAACATTAGAGTGCAGTTTCTTTGGTATGTTGTTGATCACTACTTTCAGTGATTTTTGTCCGTTTGCATATTCTGTGATGATCTGCAAAGGATAGAAAGGTTTGCTGAGACAGAAAGCCTCTCAGGGTATGCCTTCTAAAACCAAAGGGCTTTTCCCTCTTTGGAGGAGAACTAATGATCTTAGTCATATTTTTATTGAGCCTTTTTTTGCTTCTGGATGGACCTTGAAGATGCTAAAGGAACTTATAAAATTCCCAACTTTCTAAACTGTATAATATGAACTGTGGTGAACAGTGAGCCTAGGATATAAGCTCTTTGCTCTCAAAGACCAGTTAAAGACAAATTAGAGGTGAACCTGCTCTCTTCTGTGGTGATAAAAGGCACCTTAATAAGGTTTCTTATAAATACCTGTCCTAGTCTATTGTTTCAGGACCAGCACTAGTAGTATTAAGATAGTTTTGTTATTCTGAAGCTATCATATATGTAATGTGAAATAAAACAAAAAGTAAGTATGGGATCTTCTAATTCCATCATCACAAATTTTTGGGGTAGAAGAAAGGAAATACAGATGTACTGTAGAAGATATTAGGTAAAAACCCTGTAGTTCTGAATTTGAATTGGATGTATCAATTATGAACTCATAGGTGTTTTGTTTTAAAATATACATTTTTTTCTAGCTCTATTAATTAGAAAAGCCTAGAAACAGTGACCAATTCAGTAGTAGTGAACTGAATTCATTACTACCAATTCAGTAGTAATGAACTGAATTCATTACTACCAATTCAGTAGTAATGAACAGCACTATGGCCTTGATAGTGGTCTGGAAAAACTTTTCCCATTAAAGGAAACCAAGGCTTTTTAGAAAAATATTTCATTTTACATCACATATGAGATGAGCAAAGAAGCTATCAAAGACTACTATTATAGAATACTCAACTTGAAGCTAGACTGAAGGAGATCCGACTGTCCAAAGATGGGCAGTTTGAGCCCCAGTAAGGTCAAGAACTACAGTGAATCAAACTGGATCAAAAATATTTAAATCCGTAAGTATGCAGTGACATCAAGTAAGGCAGCCAGTTGGTTACCTTCTGAGTATGACAGGACCAATTCATTTCCTCAAAAACTAGGTAAAGAGAATGGAAGAATCAAATATTTATCTTAACTTTCCTTTATGAATTGTACCTCTGTGATCAAACAATTGATAAAGGGAAGCATCTTCCACTGAAATTATTCTAGCTAATGAAAACAAAATGACAGAATATCATTATGCTAAAACTTCCAGTACATTGATAGATATAGGCACCACTGACCATCAACTACCAAAATAGTTGATATCACCAACTATCAAAAAAAGAGCAAAAATCAAAGTTAAATGCCTCTCTTTTTTTGACACAGGGTTTGGTTCTGTCGTTCAGGACAGAGTGCAGTGGTGTTAGCTCACTGCAACCTCTGCTTCCCAGAGTCAAGCCATCCTCCTACCTCAGCTTCCTGAGTAGCTGAGACCACAGGCACATACCACCACGTATGGCTAATTTTTGCATTTTTTGTAGAGATCGGGTCTCACTTTGTTGCCCAAACTGGTCTCAAACTCCTGAGCCAGGCGAATCTGCTGGCCTCGGCCTCCCAAAGTGCTGGGATTACAGGTGTGAACCACCATGCCTAGCCATTAAGTTAAATACCTTTCTTGATTTAAAAAAAAATACTGTGATACAGTTTTGTCAAATAAATTGAAGCTCAGATAAATTAGGCCTCAGGATCCAGATGCCAATTTGTAGGAAGTAAAGAGGACAGAAGAACCACTAGGCTGGACCGCTTCATATGGCTTCAGTCAACAAATCCAAATTGTGAAAAACTCTGCCAACAGATAAATTGTATGAAAAAGAAATATAGATAGAAAAGGAGATTAGAAGACTTAAGCTGGGTGTGGTAACACATGTCTATAGTCCATCTACTGGGAAGGCTAAGGTGGGCAGATCATTTGAGACTAACCTAGGCAAAACAGTGAGAGCCTGTTTAAAAAAAATGGAGAAGAGACTTAAAAGATATATCAAGATAAAAACTGTAAATTATTATATTCAGGCACTCCTGTGAGGGAATGATTGCTGTGGAAATCAGGATTGTGGTCACTTTTGGAGGGATGGAGCCCCTGTGATGGGAAGGAGACAGATGAAAGCACTTCTGGGGTGGGGGTGGCTGGCAAAGTTCTAAATTTTGACCTGGATGGTTGTTATAAGAGTGTCTTCCTAATAACAGTTTGCTAAACCATATACATAAATATATATTATATATGTAAATAATACATTTACATATATGCATATATCACATACATATATTAAATATACTTGTGTGTGTGTGTGAGGGAGTCATCTGTTTCATTTGATAATAAAGTATATATATATATAAAGAAAGCATATTAGAAAAATCCACAAATCTGATGCTGCCCTAGAGATTATTACAGCACTATCAGTACTGGGTAAATAAAGTTATGGAACGTTGTTTTCTGGTGCACAAGGAATGGAAATTCTACTATAGATATATCAGTGGTGGGCTAACTTTCAAGTGCTGGGAGGTTTTGTTTTTACAGTGCATAGCAGCAGGCTTGCACATAGTTCCTATTTCAGTGTCAGTCAGCCTAGACAGATGACCCATTTCTGCCTCCTTGTTTTTCATTCTGTGGTGCATAGAACAGAGAGTACCAGCATGATGGCTACCACATGCTTAAGAAAATTCAGGTTCTTTGGCCCTAGCTGTCTTCAAAAGTAGTAGCCCAGGAATATGCATGGTTAACACACACACTGCAAGGTAAGAATCACCACTACCTTCTCTATTAATTTCTACCTAAAACATTGCTAAAGAAAATCAGTTCTATGAAGATGTCTTGGGGAAGGTATAGATAATCTGAACAATTTCCAGAAGAGCTATTGAGAGTCAAGACTATAGCCATTATTTTTTTATTGAATGAACTCAGATTTTGAATCTGTATTTAATTGTGTCATATAGAATACTGAATACAAATGTGACTAAGCAGTAACTTGCTTAGAAAAACAATTTCTTCAATGTACAATAGCATTGGTCAATTTTCCTCTAAATTTTTTGCTTAGGGTTTATTCCCCCTCAAATAAGCCAGAGCCTGAAATCAGGTATTTAAAATAATAGTTCAATCAGCAAGTCCTCTGAAGCTTTTTAATAATCATTTTAAGCAAAAGTTTACAAATCATTGAAAGAAAAGCAATCTATATTTGTATATGGCCGGGTATATCCTGACAACTTCTAATTGGTCCTTTACCAGTTGAAGGCAGAGGAGACTTTCAGAGATGTGAAGTCAGAACTATGAAGGCTTCCAAGACTGTATTCTGCATCTTTATCCACCTCTTTCTGTCATCTCTCCCGTGCTTCCAAATCTGCTTGCTTTTTCAGATCCTCTCCTAATCAAAGCAGGAGGTGACCCAGTGTTATTGACTGATGATACTACCTGCTGACTAAGTGCCAGTTAATATGAATGTACTTCAGAAAGAAAGTTAAGCTACTATTTGCTTTTTAGGGGTTTATCTCTAATTTGTAAAATATAATATTTTGTCCAATTGAATTCAATGCCACAAACATCCTTTGTCTTTGTTTGGCAGTGTCCTAATAGTGTGGCATTATAGATAGCAAAGATAAATAAGACACATTTAACAAACGTGGCATTATAGATAACAAAGGTAAATAAGACACATTTAACAAACGTGGCATTATAGATAACAAAGATAAATAAGACACATTTTCTGTTTCTAGGAAGATACCATCTAGTTAGGGAGCTAATGATAGCAAATCATTTCCACGTAAATTAGCTCATTTTAGTCATCACACTCATAATTTTAGTACTAAAAAAGATAACTACTGTTTATAGAGTTCTTCAAACTTTGGAGAGAAGTTCTGTGATGACCATAAAAAGTCTTAGCATCATTCCCATTGCTCTCCATTATAGTCATTCTTTTTTATTATTATTTTTAAATTTGAGACAGGGCCTCACTCTGTTGCACAGGCTAGAGTACAGTGGTGTGATCACAGCTCACTATAGCCTTGACTTCCTGGGCTCAAGTGGTCCTCCCACCTCAGTCTCCAAAGTAGCTGAGACTGTAGGCGCACACCACCAGGCCTGGATAACTTTTTTTGAGACAGTCTTGCTTCATCACCTAGGCTGGAGTGCAGCGGGGAGATCTTGGCTCACTGCAACTTTCTCCTCCTGGGGTCAAGTGATTCTCCTGCCTCAGCCTCCTGAGTAGCTGGGATTATGGGCACCTGCCACCATGCCCCCCTAATTTTTATATTTTTAGTAGAGATGCAGTTTCACCACATTGCCCCAGCTGGTCTCAAGCTCGTGACCTCAAGTGATTTGCCCACCTTGGCCTCCCAAAGTGCTGGAATTACAGGTATGAGCCACTGCACTGGGCCAGGCTTGGATAATTTTTATATCTTTTGTAGAGATGGGGTTTTGCCGTGTTGCCTAGGCTGGTCTCAAACTGCTGGACTCAAGAAATCCTTCCACCTTGGCATCCCAAAATGCTGGGATTGCAGGTGTAAGCCACCATGTTCAACCCATTGGAGTTATTCTTAATTTGACAAAAGAAAAAACTAGGCCTATTAGAAAAGTATATTTTCTAGAGGAAGAAGAAAAAAAGGTGTAGTCTAGTTTGTGTTTTTTTGAATGCTATTTTTATAAT